TAAGTTCAATGGATATTGCATTTAATTTTTCTCTCAACCTTCATTGTAATATTTTGCAAATGGTTTATTTTCTAAGATCTGAGCCAATTTAATTCAAAACACATTAAATTGAGCATTTTCCATGTACACAATTATAAAGTTAAAATTATGGTATTTATTGGGCCAGCAAGTGGCGTGGTGGTTAAGGGTGCTGGATTCTCACATGGCCAACTGTGGATCGAGTCTCAGACCTGCTGACTTGCTTTCTCACTTTTTCTCTCTCTCTCTCACTCACTCTCACTCTCACTCTCTCACACTCCGTCCCTCTCTAGTCAAAGTAAAATAGATAAAGTTAAATAAAATAATTCTTTTTAAAAAGTATAGTATTTATTACATAACTTGTGCTACATTTGAAGTCTCAATCATTGCAAACGTCTGGTTTTTTTTTAAGGTATTTAAATTAGTTGAACTATGAAAGTAAGCACTGTCCTATACTAAGAAATTCACATAGTTTTAAAAAATGGTCTTCTCTTCCTCATATTCTTTGAGTTTTGTAGGAAAGGAATCAACAGTTCACTTAACTCTTTACTGAGTACATATCATATGCTAGGCATTATACCAGGTATTTGTGATTCAGGATAATGAGGCAGTGCTTGCCCTCGAATAGTCATAGTCTAACAGAGAAGATCTATAAACATATAATGGCAATGTAAATCTTGAAGAAGAGGAAGGAAAACTCCTTGTTCAAGAACTGAAGTTGAAGTGGAGAGCGAATTTGTCTGCTGATCATTTTGTAGATAGAGAAGTAGAGAGTTAAAGGGAGTTCATACCCGATAGTCCTTTCTCCCTAATATGCAAAGTAGGACTCAGGTTGTTTGTAAGAATTAATGGCATAGGACAAGCAGTTAGCTTAATGGCTATGTCGCTGAACTCTCACGTAGTCGACCCGGTTCGAGACCCAGACCCGATGGCTTAAGCTCATGCTGGGCACGTGTGTGTCCGTGCCCAAGATCCCAAGAGGAGAATGGAGGAGAAGGGATTGTGGCATGGCCACTCCCCTGGGGGGTGATTTCTCACTTTCTGTCTCTCTGTCTTTTTGGCGAGCACATGCCCTATAGCAAAAACCTCTCCAAAAAAAAGAAAAAAGAAAAAAAAAGGATTAATGGCATGAAGTAGCTCTTGAGAAGAAACTGAAGATACAATCATTAAAAAGAAATAGACATGCCGACAAAGACAAATGAAGGATGGCATGCCGAGTAGAAAAGGCAATGAGAGGAGAACTGAAGCTGGGTAACATGAAATTATGTGGATGTGAGTCAGTACAGTGGAATAATTTCCTCTGTCTGCTCTGAGGCCAATATATAGGTGCAGGGGACTGACAGGTGGTGTGGTGGTCAAGGAACTGGACTCCCACATGGCCAACTATGGTTCAAATCCTGGACCTGGCGGTTTGCTTTCTCACTTTCCCTCTCTCTTTCTGTCTCTGTCTTTCTCTGGTGAGTACACATATCATATAGCAAATTGAAAATGATGATAATACATAAAGTTAAATAATTATTTTAAACAAGTATAGGTCCAGTAAAGTCATATTTTGCTCAAGGATCTTGAGATGGGTATAATAGAAGTATAAGAAGGTCAGGGAGTTGAGAGTCTTTTTTTTCTTAATATGGAAGGAAGTATGGTTAAAAAGAGATTGATAAACTTGGAGAAAGTGAGGAAGTGAAGAAACTGGAGATAAAAACCTGATACTTATAAGATACTGAGCAGGGACCAACAGTTAATGTAATGGCTATGTTGCTGGACTCCCATGTAGTTGACCATGGTTCGAGTCCTGGACCTAGTGGCTTAAACTCACGCCGGGCACATATGCGTGCATGCCCAAGATCCTAAGAGGGGAATGGAGAAGGGATTGTAGTGTGGCCATCTGCCTGGGGGGTGATTTCTCACTCTCTGTCTCTCTGTCTTTCTCTTTCTGGTGAGCGCATGTGCCCTATAGCAAAAACCTCTCCAAAAAAAGAAGATACTGAGCAAATCTTCATTTCCTCCTTTCTGACTTTCCCTTCCCTATACCTGTTTCACCACCAGTACTCGCCTCTGCTACGGCTTCTAACGTGAATAGTTTCAAATCATGGTGATAGCAGCCAGTTTTGAGGGAAAGATGAGGAACTAGGTTCCAAAGGCCTTATCCAGTGTGTCCCAGTGACTTAGGTGTTGGCAGTACTTGGTAAAGATTGCCTCTAGAAGATGCTCAAGGCTTATTCCATTATCTCCCTACAACTCATGCTTGAAGGATGGGATCAAGAATCAAAGATGGTTTATGGGGCCATGGTTCTTTTTTTTTCCAAAAACAATTAAATATTTCTTGCAGATTCTTTTCCTAAAAGCATTTACTAATCTTGTTTATTGACTTAGGAAAATAAACTTTAAAAAAAATATATTACCTATTTTATACTTACTCATTCTAGAATAAAGAATATTTTCCAACTGATCTCATGAAGCCAATGTCCTACTGATTTCAAAATATGACAGTGTTACAAGAACAGACATGATTACGCCACTATGCAGTTTATTCTAGATGGGAAACCACATTTAGTATGTTGTGATGATGCTCAGGGAATAAATGTTAAGTAATTTTTAAAAAGTTGCAGGAGAAAAAAATAAAACCGTGAAACTGTTCGTATGGGGCCATGGTTCTTGGGACAGGGATTTATTCTGTGATGAGAAGTATTAAATCTCTAAGAGTCCTCAGGACCAGCAGTTAGCATAATGGCTATGTCGCTGAACTACCATATAGTTGACCACAGTTCGAGTCCTGGACCCAGTTGCTTGAACTCGCGCCCGGTACGTGTGCGTGCATGCCCAAGATTCCGAGAGGAGAATGGAGGAGAAGGGATTGTGGTGTGGCCATCTCCCCTGGGGAGTGATTTCTTGCTTTCTGTCTCTCTGTCTCTCTCTGTCTTTCTGGAGAGCGCACGCGCCCTATAGCAAAACACCTCTCCAAAAAAAATAGAAAAAGAAATCTCTGAGTCCTCAAAGGTTTCCAGTAAGTGCTCCATCTCCTTACAGGCTTAACCATTGCACAGAACTCATTAATTTCAAAGGTGTAAAAAGAGTCTTTTGTTTGTTTGTTTTGTTTTGAAGTGTTTGCCATAGAGCATGCATGCTCACCAGAGAGATAGAGAGAGGGAAAGTAAGAAATCGCCCCCTCAGGGGGGATGACCATACCACATACACTTTATTCATTCTCCTCTCTGGATTTTGGGCATGCACACACGTACCTAGTGTGATTTTCAAGCCACTGGGTTCAGGACTAAAACCTCAATCAGCTATGTAGGAGTTCAATACCTTAACCACCATACCACGTGCTGGCACAAAAAGAGACTCTTTTCTTTTTTTTTTTTTTTGGAGAGGTTTTCGCTATAGGGCGTGTGCGCTCGCAAGACAGACAGAGAGAGACATAGAGACAGAAAGCGAGAAATCACCCCCCAGGGGGGATGGTCACGCCGCAATCCCTTCTCCTCCATTCTCCTCTCGGGATCTTGGGCACGCACGCACACACGCGCAGCATGAGTTTTAAGCTACCGGGTCCAGGACGCGAACTGTGGTCGACTACGTGGGAGTCCAGTGACATAGCCATTATGCTAACTGCTGGTTCCCAAAGAGACTCTTTTCTTGACATAAAAATTAGATCACATTGGCAACATATGATATCTTCCTCCTTGGAATCTAAGGATCCTAGTAGAGTTGGTTGTATCTTATGACTTATTTTATAGGAGTTATAAAATATATTTTACTTTTTTATTAAATAAATACTTTTGGGACCAGCAGGTGGCATAGTGGTTAAGGGCACTAGACTCCAGCATAGCCGACCATGGTTCAAGTCCTAGACTTGGCAACTTGCTTTCTCACTTTCTCTCTCCCTTTCTCTCCTTCTCTGGTCAAATTAAAATAAGTAAATAAATAAGTAAATAAAGTTAAATAGAATAATTTTTTAAAAATAAAGAAAGAAATACTTTTTAAGGCTTTTGTCTCAAACCGGACAGTCGGCCAGGTAAGATCCAGCACCTTAACCACCACACCACTGGCTGGCCCATAGAGATTTTCTTTTTCACCACAGTTGTGAATGTAACACATAATCTATATTTCACAGGGTGTTTACCTGGTTGTAGTGTAAAGAAAAAATTCAACAGAAATGACCCATGTGTCTTAACAATGAAACTGCTAGAAAGGTGAGGGTCCCTAGAGTGAGTAAGCAGAAACCACAGGTCATCATCATCTTAAGAAATGAAGTGAACTTTCATGTAGAGTTGGCTGAAAAAATCCTCAGTAGTCTGGATCATCAGTCTTGCTGTATTAGATTGTCAATGGTACCTTTAAGGTGTCTAGATGCTTGACTAGAAAATAATCGAATACTGTTGATGAAACTTCGTCTGAGTTGCTCTAAAGAACCACGTACCTCACTTGAATCTTGTCGCACACATTCAGCTTTATCCACAAAGCCTGTGACATCCATCTAGATCCTCTGGATTCCTCTATATCCAGCCAACTCAGACACGTTTGCCCTTTTCTCAAGTGCTTGGATTGACAGGTAGACTTGTTATTCTATAACTAAGGTATAGTTTCTGTAGCCTAAAATAGCAGAATAGATATGTCTTGGGTTAGATTTTCCTAAAAATAGACCTCTCCCCCCAACCTTTAAGTAAAGGATAATAGAAATAAGCAATAATTCCTAATTGGCCATTTAGGTCAAAGAAACATGTAAAGAGTTAAAAGTGTTCTAAATGACAGCTCAATTATACTTTTCCAAAAATCTTTCATCTTTTCCTCCTCAAATATTAGTACTAGTGTGTGATTTATTTCTGGATTTTCTGTTTAAAAGTTCCAGTTCATTTTTGCTCAGTTCATGGCGAGTGGACATTAATATATGTAAATGGCACCACTGTGTTTTTCCTAAAGTACATATGAAGAAGAAGAAAAACTTGGCTTTTGGTTGAGATAACATTGTTTTCATTTTCTTTCAGGTTGTAAACATGTGAAAGGCATTCTGTTATATGGCCCCCCAGGCTGTGGTAAGACTCTCTTGGCCCGACAGATTGGCAAGATGTTGAATGCAAGAGAGCCCAAAGTAGTCAACGGACCAGAAATCCTTAACAAATATGTGGGAGAATCAGAGGCCAACATTCGTAAACTCTTTGCTGATGCTGAAGAGGAACAGAGGAGGGTAATGTGAATATACATATAATTTAGTGCAAGTGTATTACCACTTAGGTGATGAATGAAACTCAAGAGTGTGTGGAGGCAAACCCGTTGCTGTGATCCATATTTTGTAACAGTTTGATCAATAGCAGACCATGAATATGCAGTGGTCCCATAAGATGATGATGGGCTGTCCCGTGTAGCCTAGGTGCTTAGCAGGCTTTACCATCTAAGTCTGTGTAAGTGCACACTGCGAGGTTCACACAATGACGAAATCGCCTAATGATGCATTTCTCAGACTGTAGCCCTGTTGTTAAGCAATGCATGACTGTACCCAGTTTATGTATGGCACTGTATCAGGATTTCGTGGGATTTACCTGACGTGAGCACATGCCATTACCCACATGTTCATACTGCAAAGGTAGATGATTGTATAAGCCAAAAGTTCTGTAAAAACATCATGAGTGTATTTTCGGGTGACATATTTAGTCCATATTATTTCCATATGTATACTAATTTTTTCACTGGAAAAGAGGGAAATTAAATCTATAAATAGACTTATAGAATTACATAAATGGAAGGTCCATGTGCAGAAAGAAAGTTGGCTTATTTAACACTGAGTTAGCTCAGTCATAGAGTGACAGGATTGAATTTCACAGCTCAAAGGAAAACTCAATTTGGATCTTAGAAAAAATAAAATTATTTAAAAATCAAAGCAAAGTTCACACATTGTGATGGCTAATTTTACATGCCAATTTGTCTGGGCCACAGGGTACCTAGACAATGGTCAAACATTATTCTGGGTATGTCAGTGAAGCCTGCCTTTATACTCAGACTGAAACATCAGCACTTCCTGGGTCTTGAGCCTTTCAGCCTTCAGACTAGAACTACACTATTGGGTCTCTTGGATCTCCAGATTGTCAGCTGCAGATCTTGAGATGTGTTGGCCTCTTTAAATGTGTTAGTAATTCTAATGATAAATACCCCCCCCCGTGTACATATATACACATGTATACATATGCATACGTATAGAGAAGAGATTTATCATAGGAATTAGCTAACATAATTATAAAGGCTTACATATATGCGTGTGTACATATACACATGTATATAAAAAGATAAATACATGGAATACACACATACACATTCTCTCTCTCTATTGGTTCTGTTTCCCTGAAGAACTCTGATACACTAATATTAACATATTTATTTCATTGACAGAGTTTGAAAACAATGCCATGAGATTTCTGGTTCTGGTAATACAGTAGACTAGGTAACCTGAACATTTTCCTTTTCTAAACACCTTCGAATGATCAGTAAAACATAATTAAAATAATTTCAAATGCATAATTGCACTCTTGGGAAAGACAAGTAAATCTCCAGAAATAAAACGAGAGTGCTAATGATAAGACCTACAGCTTTTGGTTCGGTAATATATGGATTTGGGTTTTTAAACCCACTAGGCCATGTGAGATCCAGCTGCCCTACCCACCATGCCATTGGTTGACCCTCCCATGAGAATTCTAAATCATGGATCCTTGATCATGCTAGTTTAGGATTTGAATAAATATATTCCTTCTCTGTGGTTTGGGACACCCCCTCCCCCAGCCAAGAAATTAATTTAGCAATTAGTTCTGAACTAGCAGTACTATAGGTTGTCAGTTATAAGCAAACCCCAAGGAGTGTTCCAACACAGGCCACAAGAGATTCTAACAGGGAAGCTGAAATAACTTCAAGAAATAAAAAAATATAGCCATCAAAACTTAAAACTCAACAACCATGCTAAACATAAGGCAGTAAGTGTCAGCTGCAGGGAAGAGCGGTAAACAGAAGAATAATCTAAAGAAATCACAGAGTGTTGCACAGAGAAACAAAGGGGTAGAGAATATGAAAGTTGAGGTAAGAGTTAAAATGAGAAGTCCAAATACAGAGAATTATGTGGGGGCAATATTCAAAAAAGAAATAGCTAAGAATTTTCTAGAATTGGTAAAAGACATAAATACTCAGATCCAAGTAGTACATTTAGCCCAAATGAAACAAATAAAAATTATTTTATTTCCAGACCCATTTTAGTAAAACTAGGGAATGCCAGGGAAAAAAGGGAGACATCTAAATATCAACCAGAACAAAACAAAACAACCTCTTTTAGCTGGCTTAGAATGGGGGAATCTATTGATATTATGTTGATAGCAATCTTTTAACAACAGCCAGACCAGAAAACAGTGAAATAGTATCTTCATAGATCTAGGTGAAAATAACTTTTGACTTAAAATGTTGTACTCAGCTTAATTCTTACTCAGGAATGAAGGTGAAATAAAGACTTGTTTTCAAACAAAAGATGGTAGAGTTAACTAGTTACAGAGGCTGGTTGAAGCTTGTGATGAAGCAGAATGCATTCGAGATGGGAAGAAATTGAGCCCAGAAGGAAATGGTGGATCCAAGAAACAATGATCAACAATAAAACTGGCGAGAATGTAGATAACATCTGGGAGTCCTTCTTCTAGAAGTGGCAGCTTGAGTGAATTGCACCTGCTACTGAAGACTGGAAAAGATCAACAACAGAAACAAAATTCAGTTTTCCTTGAAGGCATCCTAGAGCTTATAAGATCCAGGGGAAGAATGGAGCCTAGAGGAAAGGTCCTGCTGTATAGGGACACTTCCTCTGGAGACGTCAGTCATTTCTTGACGGGGCTGCTAAAAACTAAGCCACCCTTTGACAGGCTAGTGGAAGAAAAGGTGGCAGAGGTAGGAGCCCATGGCCCCTGAAGAGGGGACACCTGGTAAACACAACTCATGTTGAGTCAAGACACCATGGAAGCAGAGGTTCACCAGGAGTAGACATACTCTCACAGAGGCTACAGGTTAGTTTGAATCATGCCATTCCTTAAAATCAGGCAGAGAGTTTCTAAATTGCTTCTTGCTAGAAGAAGGTAATATCATGTAAGACCCTGAATTATTTCTATAGTTTGAAAATGCCAAGTCTTGGAGCCGGCAGGTACCATGGTGGTCAGGGTGCTGGACTCTGACATAGCCAGTGGTGGTTCAAGATCTGATGACTTACTTTCTCACTTTCCCTTTCTCTCTGTCTCCCTGTGGTCAAATTAAAAAATAATAATAACAAATGGAATTAAATAAATAATTATTTAAAAAAATAAAGAAAAGAAAATGCCAAGACGGGCTTAAAATCAGAAGCAACTGGATACACAGAGACACAAACAACACAAAGAAAGAGAAACAAAAAATGGTAGAGACAGGGCCTTCAGATATTGGAATTCTCAGAGATAGACTTTTAAAATATACTTATCACGTTCAAGGAAATAAGAGACAGGAGTGAAAATTTTGGCAGAGTGCTAGGAATTATTAAAAATAAATAAATAAATAAATGGAAATTCTGGAAATTAGAAAATCAGTAAATTAAATTAACTCGAATGGGTTTAAACAGTAGATTAGACACTTTGTAAACTGAAATATGTGAAATGAAATAACCAGAGACAAAGGATGAAAGGAATTAAGAGAGAGTAAGAAAGAGAAAATACTGCAAGAAGGTCTGGTATATATATTTAAAGCTTCAGAAAAGCAGGAGAAAGAAGAGGCAAAAGCAGTATTTAAAGAGGAAACGGTATAGAAATTTCTGACACTGATGAAGAATATGAGTCCATAAATCTCAGAAGTGATGTGAACCCCAAGCACGAGAGATACCAAAGAAGCTGCATCTGTAGACATCAGTGTTAAGCTACTGAAGACCCAAAACGAGAAGAATCTTAAAATCACTGAGACAAAAGAGAAAGATTGCCTTCAAATAAGCAACAGTGAGCTAGCAGTTGTCTTGACAGAAATGATAGAAACAAAAAGTCCTTTAAATGCCATTTTTAAAAGGCTGAAAGAAAATTATCTAATTAGATTTTTATGTCCAGTTAATGGTTGTCATATTAATATACAGTGGAATACTAAACAGAAATAAAAATAAGTAGACTACAGCTATATTCAGATGTAAATCTCACAAGTAATATTGAGCCAAAAAAAAAAATAAAAAAAAACATACTATATGATTCCATTTATGTAAAGCTCAACTAAAGTATACTGTTTAATAATGCATGCTTAGGCACCTGTAAAGGAAACTATAAAGAAAAATAAGAAGTAATTACAATAAGTAAGTTTAAAAAAGATAAATAACATGCACTATATAAAATGGCAACAGTAAAGATTAATATGGGTTTTCTTTTAAACGCAAGAACTAAAATATGAACAAAACATATGGGAAGTAAATGAAACCCTTATGAGAGCCTTAGAAGATAGTAATGTTAACTAACATGAAACTAAGTGGGACCAGCAGTTAGCGTAATGACTATGTCGCCGGACTCCCATGTAGTCGACCGTGGTTCGTCCCAGACCCAGCGGCTTAAACTCACACTGGGCGCGTGTGCGTGCGTGCCCAAGATCCTGAGAGGAGAACGGAGAAGGGATTGCGGCGTGGGCATCCCCCCTAGGGGGTGATTTCTCGCTTTCTATCTCTCTGTCTCTCTCTGTCTTTCTGGTGAGCTCACGCGCCCTATAGC